GACAAATCTAGAGGAGACAACTTTTTAAGCAAGCTGTATAAAAATAAATGTGTGTCTACCTTAGCGGGACTTCTGACACTGCTCAGGGTCTCATAGGTGGGCAGTATGAGGTGTAAGCAGGTCTCCAGATGATCACCAGTCTTTGTGGATCTGTTGTTGGACTTGATGATTTTCATGTGAGAGAAAGCAGACTCCAGAGCTCTCCATCCATGTGACTTGTTGCTCTGGATTTGATCCCAGTGTTATTTTGCAGAGTCAAAACCTCATTTTTAACACCGGAGCAGTCCAGACTGAAATACAAATTTGGACATATCCATCCATCCTGGTGGACAACTGCACGTCTTATAGCAGCCACTTTTATTTTTAAAATCATGAAAAAGCACATCTGCAGCCCCAATAAACGCTTCTTTCATGACTTCTCCATCGCTGAAAGACTTCTTATGTTGAGAAAGAATGCGGCTAACACGGTATGAGGCTATTGTAGCAGCCTTATCTTTTATGCTGAGCCAAGTGAAAATCGATTGCTGGGCTGCTAGCTTCCTTTTTAGCTCCCGCCCTTGAGTCCGTAATGAACAGCAGGCAGTTCCTGAAACACCCTGAGCTGAGCTCCTGGAGAAACCCCTCCCGCTGCATACGTCACTGCATGGGATTCCTTCCCCGGGGGAGTCCAATGCGGGGAAAAAACGTCTGCGGCTGGCTCGACGTTTTTTATCCTGAAACTGGTCCCAGTTTAAGCTCCAAAATTTTTTATCAGTCAGATTCCACCGTGAAACAAGTCTGTTTTATCCCCATTCATGAGTTTTTGGCCATTGACTATCTTTAAATATCGCTGCTTCCTGGTATAACAATCGGCTCTGGAAGCGATCGCTTTTTTCTTCCCATTTTTTTTTGAAGCAAGTGGTTGAAGCAAATGCAGTGTCTGCTATCAGCACAAACTAAAACACTCCCACAAACTAGGGAAATCCRTCTCATACCGTTTGTGCATCATCTTGAAATGCACTCCAAGTTACACTTTTTGGGTAAGGCAACGCTCGAATTACAGATGAGGCAAATAGGCTTCGAATTAGAATAAACACAAAAATACTCCTCCTCCCACCCTGTGTGAAAATAAGTTTTTGTTAGCTTGTTCGCTAGTTTTCCAACCATGTTTTCTCTGCATCGACAACTCCACCACTGAACCTAAAGT